ATTTCTTTCAAAGCACCCAATACACATTGGCATTGACAAGCAAGCAAATGTTGGCGGGAAAATGATTGTTTTCATACTTTATTGTCCACCTCTTTTAATTGAAAACGTCAATTCGCTTGAGAACCGACCCTGAGATGAGGATGAGGATGAGACTGCAGCTTTGATATGTTAATGTTTCGAGGTTTGTAGTAGATAATTCCCCAAGTCAAAAATTTAGTAACTATAGCCGCTTTCCAGCTGACGCTTTTGAGCACGCAATCGAGTCTTTGCGCGCGCAAATGCTTCAAGCGCGTGTTCGTGTTCCAGCCGTACTGCGCTTCAAGAGCTGCTAACTTTTGCGTTTCAAACACAGAACACTGTGCTGCACCGTGCTTGAAGCACACAGCTGGAAAGCGGCTTATCTTGGCAACACAAGCCTTTTCTACATAAAAAATTTGAAAGCAATAGTTGTATTCCTTTCAAGAGTTTGAAACACTCGAGCTACTCGCTCCGGTGTTTAGTCGCCCCGGATTTGCAGGGAACAGATGCGTGGTGCAACGTGCAAAAAACACTTTTCGAAAGGAATAAGCGCGTGAAGCCCCGGAGCTGTTCCGGAGCTCCTCCTAGGTGTGAAAGGAATACAACTATTGACAAATTTACATTGTTTTGCCAACATAATTGACCTTTTCAATTTAAAAGCGTCTCTCTCTGGCGTCAAACTATCAGACGCCAAAAGAGTATGAAAACAACGGTTGACAGCCGCTGACAGTGGTTTGTTGACAAGATTTTTGTACATGTGGAAACTGGAAACTATTATTTCCTCGGTTTTTTCAAAGTTTTTTCGTAACAATGGTGATTGTGTAGTGTGCCTTTTTGTGAAAATAATTTCTATTTACCGGCGGACGTGTCTCTCCATAAGTTTCCATCAAATCCTACATTTGTCAAATTTTGAATACATAAAATCAGAAAGAATACTCGCAAAAAAAAGGGAAATCCACGGCCTATCAAGTATACAAAGTAATCCACGTTCAAGTTTAGTTTGCGGGAGCTGTTATCTTCCAAAATAATCCACCGCTTTCTCCATAGCGAAGTTCTGCAAATGAAGTAGTGACTTTTCCCACATTTTCTTTCAAAACACCCAATACATACTGGCATTGACAAGCAAGCAAATGTTGGCGGGAAAATGATTGTTTTCATACTTTATTGTCCATCTCTTTTAATTGAAAACGTCAATTATTTTGACTTTTATCTTTAAAAAAAAAAAACAGACTTTAGGATATTTTATTTATTTATTTATTTATTTATTTATTTATTTATTTATTAACGTATCGACATTTACAAGTTAACTTAAACTAACTAACCTAAAACGGCCCTTTTTGCTCATCATTTGCATTTTCATCAATTTCATCTGTTTCTGCTTTATTTTCTGCTCTAACATTTCTGCAGAAATCACAAACCCAGTTACAGCGAATTTCATTAGTTGAAAACATCAGAAAACTAGTGTTTCAAGTTTCAACCAATGAAATTCACTCTTGACTGTTTGTGTGTGATTTCTGCAGAGAGAGACCTCTATCATATTAAAAAAAAAATAATAATAAAAATCGTTATGCGAATTCAAGCCACTCATGGCACTCGCGCATATTACATAAGACATTTCGGCTTTACTGCTACCCGTCCCAGGCGGGACTACTCCGAGAGCGATTATAGTCCAAACAAGGGCACACAATTGACCTTTTGTTTGGACGCCATATTGCGGTGCGCGAACATAGTTGCCAAAAGAAGAAAAAAAAAATTACTAGCGTACTGTCAACATTAAAAACAAAAGTTACTGAATAAAGGCCCAATTACAGTATATTTGCATCTGCAAATTTGCAGTTCTGCAAATATGGCCGACTTGCATATGGTTTTTATTTGCAGGAACGAGCGAATTACAGAAAAAAATCTGCAATTCCATCATATTTATCGAAAAAAAGTGTTTGGACGTTACTGATTTACCAGTTTTAAATGTCAAAGGTTGTCAAAGTGATTGCAAGAACTTATGCACAGGACTACAGTGCACAGGACTTATGGAACCGTTTCACCATGCGCAAATTTGCAGGCGACTTGCAAATGCATTCTGCTTCTGTAATACGAAAAGTCAGACTTGCAGGTCCTGCATTTGTATCTTGGTGTTGCAGAGCTTCTAATTCCGGGCTAAATAAGATTTAAAATTTGAATTTGCCGCCTATTACGAATGTTTTTGAAAAGAAAAGCTATCAATTTCAGCTTGTATTGGGCGGAATAGAAATATTAGAATATCTACCTATTTACTTAATTTACTTTCATCAATCAGAGAGAGAAAGTAAACAAACAAAAAGGGATAACGAGAATCAATCATTTAGTTACAGTGACTCTATTACCCACAGTGGCGACAATTGCTGTCTTATTTTTGATTGGTTCTAAAATCCCATATATTTATATGGAAAATGCGGCCATCTTGTTCCCACCTATTGCTTATTTCAAATATGAATATATGGGATTTGGGTAAACATCCATCATAAAACATGGAAAACAACGTATTTGGTGGTCCTAATAATAGTCATCAAATACGTCGATTTCAATTTTTTATGATAGATGTCTATTTAAATCCTATATATTAATATTTGAGAGTAATAAGAGGTTGGGAACAAAATGGCGGCGGGACCTCTATTGTCGCCCCTGTATGTAAAGGTTTATTTAGCCACTGTACATTTAGTTACTTTTGTTTTTAATGTTGACAGCCCGCTAGTCATTTTCGTTGTATCTGGTGAACGCGACCATGTTTTTTATCAAACTCATTGAGTGGTTTTCGAGCGCTTGACCGGTAAATACCATTTACTGTCGGTCATGAAAATTAATGGTGAACGTTTCTTTTTCTTTTTTGGTTATTTTGTTATTTGCAATTTGCATTTGCGGTTGTGTTAGTCCAGTGGTCCAGTCCCAGTTTCAGTATTTTAAATTTGTAATTTAAATGGATAGAAGAGAAAGGTTCCAAATCCTCTTGAACTATGAAGGAAAAGATTTTCAACGTCGACGATATGGATACAGCCCAAGGAATATTAAATGCATCTTCATATTTGAAAGAAACGAGCGAACCAGAAAATAGAAAATTAATTGGAATATAATAAGAATATAATTGTTTGGTTCAGTGTTGCCAACAGTAATTTTTTAATTCCGCCAACTTTGCTGTAGATTTCCGTCAAAAATCCGTTAAACCATTTTTTTTTCGTCAATAAAATCCGTCAGAATGAAACATGCGAAATGCGCTAAACAAATAAAATTTATTCAGTAGTGCCAACCAAATAATGCAGAGTTAACGACATTGACGGCAGTGCCATTTGATTTTAGGCGTTTTTAGAAACACTGATCCATTTCACCCGATCATCAGAGGCATTTTCTCGCGTCTCAAATGTTTCAAAACATTTTTCAAAACTGCTTTAATTAAGTAATGTCACCATGACGTCATAATTTCTCGGCGTGAGAAGATGGTTTGAAAATGTGGATTAGATTGCATTTCGAAACAATTTGAACCAATTTTGACGTGACGTCATGGGATTATCGCGAGAATGTACTGTTTCAAAACAGTTTTGAACCAGTTTCAGAAAAGTGGACGCGAGAAAACGCCTCAGGTGTTTGTATTTTATCTTTTTTCAATGAACACCATTGAAAAAAGACAGATAATATCAGCTGGTGATCGGGCTAGTCGGATCAACGTTTCCGTAGAGGCTTGTTTACAGACCAAAAGTAGCTTGATTCGCTAAACAACCAGTTTATTACATAACAGAACATAATTTAGAATTTTTAAACGGAAACTTTGTTCCCGTTAAAAAATCCGTCATCCGTTGAAACTGTTTGTTTTCCGTTTCCCTCCACCAAAATCCGTTAGATATGACGGGAAATCCGCTAAGTTGGCAACGCTGGTTTGGTTAGAGCTTAACATATAAAAAAATACAAGGGGATTAAGGGGAAGGGAGAAGCAGACAAATTTGACAAATCAAAAGCAAGATGATAACCAACTAATTTCAAGCGTTTTGGAAGTGCTGTGCTTTGACCATAAACTGTCAAACAAACGTCAAAGGACTGTGACCCAGGCTTTGAATATAAAACTACAGGAAGGAGCGTTGTCTATCTGTCACTGCAAACAAAAAAGCGACGGAAGCCGCCATTTTGAGCCTCCAAGTTTGGACTCATCATTTGTTTTGGTGGTTCCCTGTGTCCTCATTTAAGTGGAAGTTTAATGGATTTTAGCGGTTTTAAGTGATGATAAGTACTGGAATTAGTGAGAAAAGAGTGAGTCATAATATTGACAATCATATTTAAATAAATATACGCTACTGCCAAACCAGAAATACTAGTCGGCCATATGCAACCTCCACATATTTTGGTCGCGCAGATTCGAAGTTATGCTCCTTCCTGTAGTTTTATATTCAAAGGACCCAGGACAACCAAGGGCATGACTGCGGTATTTACCGGTCAATCGCTCGAAAACCCCTATGGATCCATCGAATTTGACGGAGCAAGAAAAAGCGCTTCGTGCGAGATTTGGAAGCCAGTCGAACACGTGAATCTCGCTCACCGAGAGCAACGCTCTGTTTTAAGAGCCACTTTCCAGGGACTTTATTCTCGAAATCGAGGAACAGCGTTTTCATGAAAACGATTGCTCTGTCATTGTCAGTGTTATGGAAATATGAATGCAGAAGACGAAGACAGAACCTTCGTTCTCATGAAAACGCTGGTCTCCTGTTTCGAGAATAGAAGAATAAAGTCCCAGTATGGTTTGTGACGCTCGGAGGTACTCGGAGCGTTGAGCTCCCGAGCTATACGTATGGACAAACGTCACACGTCATGATACTACTAGAAATCCGTACATGTGTATACGCTTCTACTGATCGCTTTTTGATCAATCGGGTTCAGTTTTTAGGCAAAAGTCGAAAGCGCTAATAGACATATGTCATATGACAATATTTGACAAGTGAAGAAGTGAGGTTATGGTTTGTTGTTTGTTTACATATTTTAGGGTCAAATTTTTAAAATGTTATCAATTTATCAATGATCAATGCATTATTTTAAACAAATTACCTAAAGAAAATGAAATGTGTACGTAACTGAGTGATATTAGATTGGTATACGTGTCTATTTCCTCGCTGTTCATATTTATTTCCATTCTTAATTACAACATGGAATTGATTTGTAAAGTACAAAACTATGAATGGGGCAAAAAAGGCCTTGAAAGCAAGGTAGCTCAACTACAAAAAAGTGCTAGTTCCAGTTTTCCGATCGACGAAAGTTTACCTTACGCCGAGCTATGGATGGGAACTCATGTTAATGCTCCATCAGTTGTAAAAGAGACCAACGAACAATTATCTGAACTAATTTCTCGACAGCCTGCAGTGTTAGGGGAGGAGGTTTTGAGACAATTTCAGGAGCTACCATTTTTGTTCAAGGTTTTGTCAGTGAATAAGGCATTATCTATACAAGCACATCCTTCAAAGGTAAGGCAATACAAAATATGGTTCTCCTCTATTGCTTTACCTACATTGTAGCATTATTGATAACAATGTCATTGTATCAAATTTCCAACATAATTGCTGTTGAAACAATTAGGTACAGCAATGGTCAAAATTTTGACCAAAATAGTAAGTGAAAAAGACGCCAGTAAATGTATTGAAAAAAAAATTACTGGATTGATAAGATTAGTGATGTAAAATTCCCAAAACATTCAAAAGCCGCGAACATTCTCGGAAACTTTCCGGGAATATTGGAAACTTTTGGGAACTTATGGAAATATTGTTTTTTTTTAATTTTTTATTTATAGCTAAATCAGACATATTGTAGTAAGCTTTATTCACCTATTATTGTAGTGAACTTACTATATACTATAAACCAAGAAAAACACCTATTTTTTTCTGTAAGATCAGTTAAAAATTAAACTATGTAATAATGAAATCACTTTTATGGACGGTTGAATAAGGCTTTAAAGGAAAAGCTGATCCGATTAACCCAATCTCTCAGCTTTTTGTTTTTTATCTTTCTTCTATGAATATTATTTAAAAAAAAGATAAACTGTACCTGTAGGTACATTAGCTGGTGATCGGGTAAATCGGATCAGCATTTCCGTAAAGACAGTTGGACTAGTCTACGTCATCCACATAAATTGAAATGACGTCACTGAGACCTTGTATTCGCAATAATCTCGCATTTTTATAAAATTCTTCTGAAAAGTTCTTGGAAATATTCTCGAAAATTCTCGGAAATATTCTCCAAAGTTCTCGGAAATATTCTTTTGAGAGTTTTTGATTGAAAGTTTCCGGGAATATTCTCATTCAGGAGAACGTTTCCATTTTCTATCGGCGAATATTCTCGGAAATTTCCCAATGTTCGCGAATATTCGCATGGGAATATTCTCGACTCACATCACTAGATAAGATCTTCAACAAATATAGCAAATAGCAAATTACTCAAGGGCTCAAGGGTAGTAACTTCAGTGTCCGTGAAATGATCTTGTTGCGATAACAAAATTTTCAGTCCACCAGTTCATTACCCAGTTCATCACTGGCAATAGGAGATGATTATTTTAAAATGCAAAATCACAGCCTTTATTCTTTAGTTTAGAATAGGCTGAATGGGTACAAACGAGGGTACAAAATACATTTCCCCAGGATTATTTTACCATCAATTTGGGTAATATAAACTAGGTATATTAGCCAAATAAATTGTAAAACAAAATTAGTTTTTTCCTGGGTTTTTTCTAATTTTTAATTTTTAAGAAATTGTTTCAATTAAATTTTGATCAAGATTTTGATAAAATATTGGATTGGAGGAACATTTTTGTTCAGAAGGAGGAAAAGAAGAGAAGAACCATTTTCCTCTCTTGTTCAGGTCGAAAATGACTTGTTCCCGTAAGGTAGTAGAAAAAATCCTTTACTTAAACAACTATAATAATCTAATCCGCGTAAAACTCATCCAGTTCGTAGTAGGCCATTAGTAAGGCCTACCCAGTGAATTCTTCGAAGATCCTCTGAACACTTTTATAGATGATATGTTCCAGAGATGGGCGGTCGGGTGATTAAAAATATTTCTGCTTTCAAAGATCAAAAAGTGCTTAGTCAGTTCAAGTTGGCGAGTAGGAATCGGCAAAGGCAAGTCAGAAGCTTGACGCGTCTCTCACTGTGGTAGAAGTCCCACAATGGCTGCACGGTTCTTAAACATCAATGTCACAGTTTCAAGCACAAAAAAGGACGTCAAAGTTGAAATAGGATCTGCATGAGGCCCTCATCCTGATGCCTGTAATAAAACGTAGAGCCTTTTTCTGCAAGACAAATAGCACATTCAGGAGGTACTTGCTACTACTTATCGGATATGTGACTCAAATAAATAAATAAATAAATAAATAATAAATAGTCTTTATTTCCAACAGGTACTTAAACCCACTTACAGGAAATTCTATAAATATAAATAATAAATAAATTGGTAGTAAAAAACATAAACAGTAATTACAAATTGAAGTTAATTTTAAGAAAAAATAAAAATAAAATAAAATAATAAAAAAGAATGAGAAAAAAAGTGATAATGCAATAATGGCAAAATACTAATTACAATTATAATCAATTAAAACATCAATTATAACAATAGCAATATCAGTAAAAGCGTCATTGGGAATACTAACAATACGACCACAATAATATAAGCAGCAGCACCATTAGCAATAATAACATCAACAGAAGTAAAAATCAATCACTCTACACGTAAGAGAAACACAATAATACTATTCAGCGTGTCAGCATGTATATCACAGTGATGAGACAGTGAATTGAAGACTGTACACATGAAATATATCGGACACTGCATAAGGATATTGGATCTTGCTGCGCTGAGATAGAAAGCTTAAGCATGCCGAGACTCGGGGCGAGGAACACGGAATGGCAACTCCCCAAGAAGAAACGGGCAATCGGTTGTATTATGAGTGAGACCATACAATAGTTTGAGGCTCTGAATTTTCCTTCTTGTCATTAAAGATGGCAAATTGAATCTTTGTAGGAGCAGTCTGTGATCGCAACCTCTCGGGGGGTACACACCATCCTCTTTAAAAGCTAGGTACTTCAAAAAACGTCTTTGCAACGATTCAATGGCCTGTATATGGCAGTTATAAATAGGGTTCCAAATTACTGCGGCATATTCCAGCCTCGATCTAATGAACGCGCTATACAATAATATGATAGTGGGTATGTCCGAAATAAGGCAAAGTAAGCCTTCTGCTCAATCCCAAGATGTGGTTTTGGAAACGAAGGTCCCCATCTACCCTCGCATCTACCCAAACGCCCAGAAACTTAGCAGTCGAACTCACCCCGACCAAGCTATCCATGTTGCACCTGAAACCAAGCCCAGTGGTGTTGTCAATATTAAAACTGGCCTGTTAGCGTTACACCACCGGTTTATCCTCGGGTTTATCAGCTGCAATGAGGGGAATGGCACACCCCAAGACATCAACACTAGGACCATGCTAAACTATTGAGGTATTATCCGCAAAAATAGTAAATTCTCCAGAGATCTCAACATGGGGGTGGTCGTTATTATATAGGAGGAAGAGAAGCGGTCCCAAAACAGCGGACCCAAAACAATCAGCAGCTGCAGGACTGTTCTCCAGAAGTCACTACCACTGTTCTCCAGATGTCACTACCGATTGACAACGTCCAGCAAGGTAGGAACTGAACCAACGCGGAGCAGTCCCTATAAGGCCATATAACGTTCGAGTTTGGACAGCAGTGTTCCATGATCCACACAATCGAAAGCCTTGGATAGATCACAAAACATCACTGCCGACGCCTGCCTCTGATTCATGTTGCAATATACTGTATTCAGGAGATACAAAACAGCGTTTTTCTTTTCCACATTGCTTTTTTTTACAGAGCAGCAATACCCTATAGTAAGAATTGAGAGTTTCAGGATCAATGTCAAGCCACGGCCGTAACTTCTTGAGCAGACCCTTCTCTCAGTTCGTTAACCAAAGGCCAGATTTTCTGGACTTTTCCTGCACTGGAAAATCTATTATCAAAACAAAGATTTATGGCTGCTCTGACGACCCTGCGATAAACAGTTCGATACCTATTTATGTAGAGGAAACAGTAATATAACTGAAGAATGTTTTCACATAAATCAAAGACCTAAGGTTTTTTACAGAAACGCGAATACCCCCAATGGGGCAAGATTTTTTGCGTGTAGAATAATCCAATAGAATGGTGTGAAAAGTGGCAAGAGGCACCTGGGACACCTCCAGGCAAGGCCAGTTGACCACAACGCACAGTTGGTAAAAACTCTGCCACGACGTCACCCTAGCTCCACTTCACTCACATCAGTGCACATATTAAAGCATCCAGTACTAACTGCGAGACTAACTGCACTGAGTCGACCTAGGCAGTGTAGTGGTTAGTGTATCTGCTTCGCATGCTGCAGGTCCCAGGTTCGAATCCCGGCTAGGGCATGGTTGTTTGTGGTTTTTAACCGGCTCGTTGGCTTGGCGAGAGGATGTGGAAGGACTTTCTCAGACTTGCTTGATGTCGGTGCAGTCTGAATGGCCGACTATGGATTGCGATTCGGACCATCTCAGGGTGGGGGATGCATGATAAGGCCGACCATTTAGACTATTATGAATGGGAAGGAGTAGAGTCCATGTAAATGAGGTACAATAAGCCAGAATGAGCTTCAGTCCAGAGCATGGGCTTGAACGAGTGACAAAAAAGAAACTGCACTCTCTATGTGCACTGTGATTTGACAGCTCTACTGGCACAATGGAACATTCAATACAATGAAAATTTCAAATTCAAATTCTTTATTGATGCTATTACACAAACATAGTGCTTACACAAGTCAAAAATATATATATCAATCAGTACATCAATGTTACAAAAAATTTTAAAATAATAAAATACTTAAATCTAGATCTATATTACATCACTTTGAAACAATCAAATAAGTTTTAAAAAGTTTAACAGTTATTTATATAAGACAAACAGACAAATAAACAAATTTAACAAATTTGGCACAGTTATAAAATTAATACATGTAGTTGATGTGATTATAAATAGATTATTTTTTTTATTTTTATTTTTTTCCTTAAGTTCCCAACATATGCAATCAATCAGAATGCATCTTGTTATTCGACCAACTGAGTGTGGAGTTGTAATATTCATCCAGGGAGTAGAAGGCTTTACTAATAAGCATATCTTTGACTTTTTTCTTAAACAACGTGTTGCTTAGGTTAATTACCTGTTCTGGTAGTTTATTAAAAAGTTTAACAGCATGGTATCCTGGGCCATTTTGACATCTTTGCAATCTATGATAGTTAGGTCTTAAATTATTTTTATTTCTTGTGTTATGGTTGTGGATATCAATAAAGCTTGTATACAAGTTTAAATGGTTTTTAACATAAACAAGATTTTGCAGAATAAACTCTGATGGTAATGTCAATATTCTGTGTTTTATAAAGGCTGGTTAG